TTCCCTGTTTGTAATTCTTAAATAATTTCATCATACACGTAGAACTTTATGAGGCGTTATTATAATTTTTACTTCAGCACTGAAACATAGCTTAGAAAACTCAAAAGAAAACTGAAAATAACTTCACTGAGTTAGATTTTCCTCTCCCCTTGTTCTTCCTGCCTTCTCAATGTGCAGGGTTCCCTTTTATCATTCCCTTTCCTTTTAAGAAACTCAGTTTGGCCATTGTTTTAGAGCAGGTCTGCTAGGGATAATCCTTAGGTTTCGGTGGTGCTGTGGTGCCGCGGATGGAACCCAGGGCCTCCATCCATCCTGCCTCTATCCAACTGCCCTTCCTGAACCACTCCCCATCCCAGTTCCTTTCCATCCGAGAAGATTCTCATTTGCTCTTCATTTCAGAAGGATCCTGAACTCTGTGTGACACAGAGCTTCCTTCAAGAGTGTGGACCATGCCATGCCACTTCTTTCTGTCCTCCTCCGCTTCTCAAAGAGTGTGCTGCTGTTCTGATTGCTTCTCTCCTGTGGGTAAAGTGGCATTTCTCAATGCTTTCAAGGTTTTACTTTGTCTTTGATTTCCAAGAGTGTGGCTGTGGTATGTGGGGATGTAGATTTCTTTTGATTTATCTTGTTTGTGGTTAAGTCCTTTTCTTGAGTCTTTACTTTTATGTCTTTTGCAGAGCCTTTTGAGTTGTTAGCCACTGATTCTCAGTATTTTTCTGTTCTGCTCTCTCCTCTCCTGTGGGGAATCTGGTAACGTGGAAGTTCAACCTTTTATGTCCGTCCCCACAGGCTCTATCCATTTATTTTTTCCAGTCTGTTTTCTCTATCATTCAGATCAGTGAGTCTGTTGTGCCATCTTCAAATTCACTGATTTTCTTCTCTGCCCTCTAAGTCTTGTTCTTGAATCCATCTGCTGGGTTTTTTATTTTTTTCATTTCCAAAATTTCTGTTTGGTTCTTATTTACGGTTTTTCATTTTCTGAAAGCTTTTATTTCTTTGCTGAGATTTTCTGGGTGTTTTCATTTGTCTTAAAGTGCTCAAATCTTATTGGTGCATTTTCATAATTACTCATTTAAAATATTTTTGAATAATCTTAGCATTTCTATCACCTCAATTAACATTGGTTGATTTTTCTTTAATTCATGTGGAGATCTTCTAACTTTTGGTGTGGTGTGTGATTTCCAATTGAAAGTTGGATTATTGTGTTATGAATTGCGGCTCACCTGATACTGCTGCAGCAGGTAGGGAGCAGCATGTTACAAGTGGGAGCTGCCTTCCTACAGCAGATGAAGGCAGAATCAGGCTTGTCTCGTGGAGTGTTGATGCTCTGGGCCAGGGTACTCTTTGTCACTGCAGGTGGGGTCTATGCTCTCTTCATGGTCTCTGTTGATACTGTGCAATAGAGGTTGGGGGGACTGATAACCCTCCAGTGGAGGTGGCCATCCAGCTTCTGTGTGAGACCCTCCTTGGCCTGGCAGCTGTAGAAGTTGTGATACCACCCTGCAGACCAGCGCCAGAAGTCTCTGTCCCTACTGGGCCTTTGCTGGCAGGAGGTGTGGGGGTGAGAAACTCAGTTTTTCCTAGTACTTGGCTGAGGCAGGATGGCTATTACCTAAAAGTCTTATGTCTTGAGAGGTTGCCTTTTCCTGGGTCTTGGCAGAGTGAACAGGCTTGTGTTTTCGGTTGCATTTTAGTGTTATTTTCAGCACTCAGTTGAGATATCCTGTTGCTGTCTTTTTCTGCTCTGAGTCTGGGGAGGAAAGATGCTGAGACGGAGTTGCAGAGGATTGGAAGCTCTGCACCCCAGAGAAGAAGCCCTGTGCCTCCACCTCCCAGGCTGTGAGAGGGGTTGGCAGCACAGTGAAAATCTGAGCTATGCCCACGAGCCTGGTAGTAACAGAGGAGGCAGGTGTGGCAGACAGGGTGGTGCACATGTCCATGTGTTCCTGGGCAGATGGTGTGTATTCGTGCACAGGTGTGCATTTTAGGAGCAGCACCTGCCCAAGAGTTCTGCAGCTCTGCAGAGGCCAAAGAACAAGGTGTGCAATTATCTTTCCTCTCCTGAGTCTTTCAACCTCTGCCAGTGGCCCCAGGACTCCAGAGCGTCCAGCTTCTGGAACTCCTACAGGGAAGCTGCCTGCCTGGGGGTGGATGTCAGAGCAAGCTCCTCTATTACTCAACTCCCACGTCTCACTCCCAAACCCGGCTCCTTGAGGAAGATAGATTCGCCACATTAAGCGAGCCTCGATGTGCTCTGGGAGATTGCCACTCACAAACGACTCCTGCTGTGTGCCCACAGCCCACAGCCCACCGCCCTGCACCCACTCCATTCCGGCTGGAGTTGTGGCAGATGAGATGGTGTGTAGTTTATTTTCTCCTTCCATGATGAACTTGTCAGCATTTGACCAATCAGCACAGGCTGCAGAGAGTTCATTTGCAAGGCCACCTGGCTTCCCAGTGCTACTGTCGCACACCCATTTCATTCTGGGTAATGAGCCAGGACCTCACTCCTGTAGGGTGGTGCTGAGAAGCCAGGCCCATGCAGCCTGCACACAGTGGCAAGCCTTGGACCTTTCTCAGGGAGCCTTGCTCCTGCCTGGATGAGGCTGGGCTCCTCATGTCCTCACCTGCTGCTGGCCTGGTGTTGTCTGGATGGGATGAACTGTCCAGACCTCTGCCAGTTGGTCTTTGTTGGTAAGACACCTTGAGGATGCAAACACCAAGCCAGGCTCCTGGAGCTCACAGGCCCAGGTGGGCATCATTCGCCACACCTTCCACTGGGTTCTATATCATACTCTGGGCATGGCCAAGCATCCTTGGCTCCATTCTGCCCAGGACCCTTTAGTGACTCCCTGTTGTTAGTGGGTGAACTCTACTCTCCAGGACGGGCATTCATGCCCCTGGATGATCTGCTCCCAACTGGGCACTGGTGTTCATACTAGGATCTCACCCAGCTTTCCCTGTTACTGGGTAATCATTCTGATCCTTGCTCACAATCAAGTCCTTGGAAATGGCTTATGTCAAGCCATTTAGTCTCTGATGATAAGTGCACATGCTTAGCCCGGACCCTACACACAACAGGTGCTAGGCAGAGGTTGACTAGTACCTCACCCATGGTGTTCTTCCAGCCTCAGCTAAGTGCTACGGCCTTTACCCACCCACTGTAGGCCAAGCACCCACCCACAAGCTCTGCCTCCCATCCCGCTGTTCTCTGGCACTGAGGCCTTCTACCTGTAGGCCTCTCCCAGATCAGAACCTGACCTTAGCTAAGGCCTCCCAAGGCCTAAGAATACCAAGGAACCTTGACAGACATGGCTAGTACATGGACAAAAACACCCACATATCCAGCCTCACCTTGTCTCACACCCTGCCATCCCAAGCTATTGGTCTCCTGCCCTCCAAGGGCCCTGGGCATTTCCTGATAGCCTGGCTGGGTCCCCTCTCTGAGCTGGGTCACAACCAATGGTGAGGAAGGATACTTCCTGTGCCCACAGACCTGGGGATAGGACCAGAGGAGGGCTGGGGGACACAGGCACTGGGCAGTAGCCATTACCTGGGGAACAGGGGTTTGGGTGGCAGTAGGGTCACATGCTGTGTTGCAGGAGGCAGTATCACCCCACAGGCCCATGGCAGGTGCTGTGCAAGTTTGCCCTGGTGAACAGAGCAGAGCTTCCTGTCTGCAGGTGGCAGGATGCAGAGTACTCAAGTAATCCCGAGGGAAGGACCAGCCAGCTGGTGTGTCAGGGAGCTGGGGAGGGTTTGAGATGTGGGAATCTGTTGGGTAGCATAGCAGAGGGCTAGGCTGGGACAGCCTGCAGGGCGGTGAGGATGTGGAATGTGTGCAGGTGTCCAGCAGGGACATGAGATGCCGTGACCCAGAGGGCAGCCAAGGGTGGCCCCAGAGCCTGGATGCTGGCATTAAAGTTCATGTTCCCCTCAGGGGCAGCTCAAGGAGGTGAGGGCAGGGTGGTGGCAGGCCCATGCTGTCCTGTGCCCTCGGACCCCATGGCATGGCAGCAGGAAAGGACAAGACATGTGCAGGGACCCACAGGATCAAGAGGAGTATGGGGGCCCCAAAACTCACCCAGACAGGAAGGAGATAAACGAATGGGTATCCCAAGAATGGGGTGGCTCCCAAGAGCAGAAGGCCTACATGGTATACATCTCCTGCCCCAAGGATCTGCCAAAAGTAGAAGACATGGATAGGGACATCGGTAGACACCTATCACAAACCTGGAGAAATCGCCTGAGCAGGGCAGGGACTGGCCAGATGGCTATGTGCCTGGCAGGGACTGAGGAGACCTTTGAGAGGATTTAGAGATGCAGCAGCCATACTGGAAGGGAGAGCTTTCTTCATTTCTGGGAAAAGCAAAATGGAGGCCAGAGTTCCTGCCATCAAACCTGCCTTCCAGGTGGCTGAATGGAGGATGGTGGAAAGAAAGGCAAAGAATACATACTGGTTCTTGAGGGAGGCTTTGTGGAAGCTGTCCTAGAGTGTCTCTAGATATTGTTGGCAGAATTTACACACCTGGTTGCCCCTGGGCATAAGGAGGGAGGCTGAGGGATGTAGCTTTCACTGATAGTCCATGTGCCAAACTAAAGGCCAGGGTTCCTTTGACAGGGGCCCAGGGTTCTGTGGCAGACAGCTCACTGTCTCTGCCATAGAATGCCCTGTGCCTCTGCACATCCCTTACCCCAAACCAACAGCCAAGGGGAGGGAAGCAGGCAGCAGGCAACAGCTTTCCTTCAGATGTTTCTGGGAAACTCTGATTACAGTTTGGCCCTGAGTTCAGATCTTTGGGAATCACAGCTCAGGGCACACACACATGCCATGCCCGGGTGTGGCTGGGGCTCCCTTCATGCTGGGGCTGGATGGGACTTCTGCAGGGACCCTGGGGCAGGTCAGTGGTCAGGACAGCTGTGGCTGCTGGACTACAGCAGGTGCTTAGGGAGGCCAAGCAGGCCCCAAGGCCACCAAGCTTGCCTGTCCTGCCCTGCAGATTCCACCAACCGTGACTCGCTGGACATGATTGAGCGCTGCATCTGCCTGGTGTGCTTGGATGCCCCCAGCGGTGGGGACCTCAGTGACACCCACAGGGCGCTCCAGCTCCTCCATGGAGGGGGCTGCAGCCAGAACGGTGCCAACCGCTGGTATGACAAGTCCCTGCAGGTAAGTGGCCCATGGCCTGCACAGGTCTTCAGTGGCCCAGGACAGGGGCGGGGAACTGGAACTGGTGACCAGGACAGCAGAGGGCTCAGAGTAGGTAGGATACTGGTCACGTCTGAATGGCCAGGGCTCTTCTACAAGGAGTGGCTGGGCTAGCTGAAACTCCCTCGCCATCCTGGGGCCTTTGTGGGAAGCCCTGGTCACACCTGGGGCTCATTCCAGCTGACCTGGGTCACACCTGGGCACCCTGGTGGGACAGAGTGCCATGGTTCCACCATGGGAATCCTCAACACCTTCAGCAAGAGCTGTGTCTGATCCCTGAGACATCAACATTGCCAAATGTCCGCCTGCTGGCTGGGCTGTTCCAATATACCTTCCTTCCTCCCTGAGCAGTAGGGCAGCCTGCATCTCCACAGAAAAGTCCTAAAATTAAATCAAATAAAATATTTCAGGTTTTCCCCTTCTCATGATCACCTACCCATGCATACAGGATGAGTTGAGTCCGACGATCATTCTCGTTTCCCCATCCTCTCCTCCCAGCAGAGTGATACAAAATCTGACCTTACTATTTATAAAGCTGCTACACTCCCACAAGGGCTGTCTCATCCCTCCTTTGTGTTGATGTTTCTCCCTGTGGTATGCATTTCATTTAGCATCTCCTTTCTTCTTACTCTTGTCCTTTTGGCTGGTTTGATGCACCCTAATCCTGCCTCCCGTCACCATGGAAATACATCTAAGATAACTGACTTATCAAGGGGACAGGTTTACTTTAGCACAGTTCCAGAGGGTTCAGTCCATGGCAGCTTAGTGCTGTTGCTTTGGGCCTGTGACAGGGCAGGATGTCACGACTGAGATGTCTGTTCATCTCATGGCAGCCAGGAAGCAAAGAGACACAGAAAGGGACCCAGTCCCAACGTCCCCTTCAAGGTCACAGCCCCAGTGACCTGACTTCCTCCCACCAGGCTCCACATCCTACAGGGTCTACCCCCTCCCTGTAGCACCACAGGCGGGGACCCAAGTCAAAGGACTTTGCTGGACATTTCAGATCCAAACTTGAATAGCTCCTTTTCTAAATCAGCTAAATAAAGCCTTGGTGAAGTCATATAAATTGAAATCATAAGGCTTCTGTCTAGTGCCTGAGCAGCCTACATGCACGCATTCCCTACTTTCCACCTCCAGCTAGTGAACTGGGCCTTCCTAAGTAGGTATTAAATGAGAGTCTTCTGAAGCCCATCAAGCTAGAGGGGCTGGACACGGCTCCTGCAGCTCCACAGGTTGGAAGAAGTAGGATCTTGGGTCCTGGTTGCAGCTAACAGAACATTCTCTGCCTGCCCTCTTCCCTTCCCACCCACATCCTTCCCTGTACAGGACATCCTCCATCTATCCCCTTACTTCCAGTCAAGGTATGTTCTTTTCCCTGGGAATCTGCTCACCACCCAAATTGGATCGTCACACTTCACTGACTTCCTGTGAAGCACCCAGTAGTTACTCAGGGATGGACTTGAGTCTCCATCTGGGAATGAAACCTAACAGTGGCCAAACACACAGGACACATCAGACAGACAGTCAGAGAGGGCACTGTGGGGTGAGGACTGTGCTGTGCTCTGGAGTGGGGACAGGCCAGGCCAGTACACAGGGCCTCTGTGGGGAGGCTTCCCACCCAGCTCAGCAGTGTCTAGAGACTCTCCTGCTGCTGTCACTGCACTGCTCCCTTTGGGAAGTGCTATCCCTGATGTCCATGAAGAAGCTATGCCTCTGTCTGTGTGAAAGAGCTGACCTGGTGCCTGCCCCCTCTCTGATACAGTTCGTGGTGGGCCGAGATGGCACATGTGGCGTGGTGTGTGAACACTCTCCATTTGATGGCATTGTCCTGGTGCAGTGCACGGAGCACCTGCTCAAGCACATGTGAGTCTGGGCATGAGCAGAGGGGACCAGGAGAAACCAAGGGGTCCCAGGGGGCTTTGTCAGGCTGGAAAGTGGCTTAGCAGGGAACACATTTGGAGATCAGTGTGATTGTGGTGTCATGAGACTTATGGGCCCAGATGGAAGGCGTGGACTGCAGGAAATATTGAAGGTCTTTGGGGAGAGGGTGGGATGAGGCCTCAGGATGTCTGCTGTGGCCCTAGGAAGCCCTGTCCCTTCCTGCTGCCTGTCCAGAGCCAGGACTGGGCTGATGTGACCCGCACAGAGGGGGTCCCTGGTCCTGGGGTGCTCTGTCCCACTCACAAGTTTGCTCACTATCTTTAGCATCTTCTCCTCGCTTCTAGTTCTCAGTTTGTTCCATAAACTCCTTGACGTCACTGGAACCCAAACCAACGCTGCACACAGAATGACATAACTAACTGCTACATTTCCCTGATGCTCCTTGTGTGAGAGTCATTGGTATGACTGGTTTAATAGGAACCCAGGGAGAAGAAATGCTGCTCAGGTGGGAGGATCAAGAGTTTGTGTCCAGTCTGGGCAATTTAGTCACTTAGTAAAACAGTTTCTCAAAGTTTAAAAATTTAAAATGCCTGTGGATGTACCTGAGTATGAGGGCTTTGTGTTCAACCCTCAGTAACAGCAATAAAAAAGAAAACACGCCTGCCTGGCAAGAGCAAGGTCATGAGTTCGGTTCCTGGTACCAGAAAAAAAAAAAAAAAAAAAAAAAAAAAGAAAACAAAGAGACAAAGAAAGGAAAGAAGGAAGGAAACAAAAGAGGAAGGGAGGGAGGGAGGAAGGAAGGGAGGAAAGAAAGAAAAAAAAGAAAGAAAAAAGAAAGAAAGAAAGAAAGAAAGAAAGAAAGAAAGAGAAAGAAAGAAAGAAAGAAAGAAAGAAAGAAAGAAAGAAAGAAAGAAAGAAAGAAAGAAAAAAGAAAAAAGAAAGGGAGGAAGGAAGGAAGGAAGGAAGGAAGGAAGAAGGAAAGAAAAGAGGAAGAAAGAAAAAAAGGAAGGAAAGAAAGAGAGGTCAAAAGTGAGCATCCTCTTTAGAGTAAGGCAGGCTGGATAGAATCCCAGTTGTCCTCTCATGGATTTTGGTGGCTTCTTCAAGCCTGTTTATTTACCTGCACAGTGGCTTGGGGCGCTGTTCAGCCCCCTGAAACTCCAAGGCTGCACACACTACCAGCTAGGATGAAAGTGGGGATAGAAAAAGAATGCCCCTCCAGGGGCAGGGCCTCAGTCTCCCCTCTGTGCCACAGGACAAAGAGCAGCAAGAAGCTCGTCCGAGAGGACTCTGTCAGCGAGCTCCCAGCACCCAGGAGGCTGAGATGGAAATGCTCCCCGGAAATCCAAGGCCACCTGGCCTCTTCAGCAGAAAGGCTCCAACGGTAAGGGGGTGACCCAGGAGGTGCCTGGGCAATGCTCCTTGATGACCCAGGGACCCAGCAGCCCTGCCTCCCCAGGCTGCACCCCACCTGCATGCCGCAGAAGAGGTGTAATCAGACTTAGCAGAGCCAGGACTCTGGGGAAGTGACCTTGCTGAGGTGTCCATCATTTCCATAAATGCAAACACACAGCCACTCCCCCACCCCAAATGGGCTTCGCCTCACTGAGCAGCTCAGGGGTGGGAGCCTCCCTGCTCCATAAACAGCTGGTTTGAATAGGTCGTTTGAATCCAAGCTGTTTCAGTGTGCTGAGTTCACAGGGCGCTTGGCAAGAGGCCTCTGTCCCTGAGGGTACAAGTGATTAGACCCTAACCTAATGGGGCCAGGCAAGGGGGCGTCCTAGACCTCCCGAGTGTGTGGGACCTGGGAAAAGAGACATGCGAGTGCTCAGGGTCTGTCCCCTGCCCCCAAAGCAACAATGTGGGAGGCAGGAAGTACCAAAGCAGAAGCAGGTGGGCAGACCTGAGCCCACCAAGAAACTGAGGTGAACTGCTAGACAGTCAGGGAGGGTTTTGAAGTGTCCGCCACAGAGGCAGGCTGACCCCTAGGGAAGTGGAGAGCCCTACTGACATTTCAGCCTGCAGGGGGCCTCCGGGGCAAGGAGGTGGTCAGGGCACCCCCAGGGGACAGCTACTTACTGTCAAGGACCTAGATGGCTCTTGTTTCTGGAGCATAAGGAAAGCCTGTTGGGGAGGCAGGAGCAACTCCAGGGATGGGATGTGGTCAGGCAGGGCCAGGGCAGGGGGTTGCAGCCTGGCTCTGTGATGGTGACAGTGACGGCAGTCTATCCAGGAGTCTGTTCTCAGGTGGGACTCAGGAGTGAGTTCTGGCCCCCAGAACTCCTAGTGGGAGGAGAGTTGGAGGACAGGCAGGGGACACAGGCCTGGCTAGAAACCGCGCCAGGCATCAGTAGGACCCCAGACTCCTCACAAAGGAGAAGATGAGATGGTGTGGGGACGGTGTGGATACAGGAACTTGTCCCGTTATTCTGATGATGACAAAGGCCCAGCTGTGTCATGGGAGCCTATGGAACTTTCTGGATAACATACTTTTGGGTCACCGATGAAGCCCCAGGGGGCGTCCTGGATCTTCAGGAGCAGATGCCCTCTCCCCCAGAGTCCACACAGATGTGGGACAGATATGCCTTCTCCTTGGGTCAAACGATCAGAGCGGCCTCTTCAGGCCTACCTTGTGGTGGGGAGTTTATTTGTGGGCAGCACTGGCCCTGCCCATGCAAATGCACTCACTCTGCCCCGCCTGCTGCTCCCAGCCTGGCTGCTGCAGCTGGGCCACCTCCCCTCCCCCAGGCAGCACCACCCCTGTCTGGCCAGGCACCTTCTGCTCAGGGCAGCTTGGCCCCATGTGCTTCTGCCACTTGCATGGTCAGCATGTCTGTGACAGTCCAGGTGCACGAAGTCCGTCCTCACCTGGTGTAGTGGCAGGCCAGGCCGGAGCATCACAGTGGGCTTGGGGCTCATGTGACCCAAGTGCCTTCCTCTGCCCTCCAGAATAGTGAAGAACCTGGACTTCACTGTGTATAGATTTACCGGCTATGGGAAGACATTCATCAAGAAGCAGAAGTGCAGCCCTGATGCCTTCATCCAAGTGGCCCTGCAGCTGGCCTTCTATAGGTGAGACCCACGGTGATGACTCCAGAGTCTGCCACAGTGGCTTTCTGGGCCCCCCATTCTGATCTGGAGAGTGACCAAAACTGGCCCCAGGAAGGAAAGGGAAAGACACACAAGCAGGGACAGCTAATGTGACTATGACTCAGCCCCCTAACCCTGCCATCATGAAGCTTTGAGACTGGCCAATCAGGCTGTGTCATGCACCACAGTGACCCTCCAGTGCCCATACAGAGCGTCCTCCTTCCCACCCACTACCTCCACTTGCTTCTCCATTTCCTTCCTGAGGAGCTGCCTGGGGCTTTCTTCCATGCAGTTCCTCATCCTACTTCAGTGTCACCGACGCAAGTCAAGGTCAGGACTCACTGTGAGCCTCTGGGCAGCCGCTGCCCCTCTCTGAGCTCTGTGTCTTTTTCCTCCCCATTCCAACACCAAGTACTGGACTGACTGCCGGAAAGAGGGTGTGGAAACCAAGTGTGCAGACTCTGAGGGTGCTTGCTCAGTTCTCATGCATAAGGAAAGAGGTGTTCCCTGGCCAGTGGCACCATCTCTGTGCTTGGAGGGCCAGGATGCCAGAACCATCCATGGGGAGGCAGGGCACACCTTGCACCCACCCAGCTCCAAGGACTGTCCTGGTTCAGCCTCCTTGGAGAAGGAGAGATACAGCCTTGGTGCCCATGGGCATAATGCCACCTAGACTATCCCCTCCTCACCCCTGCCTGGGTCCAGAGGTCACACTGAATTATTTTAAATAAAACCAAATCCCTCCAGGGTATGAACGATTAATTGCACAGTTACTCCATTCTGCAGTATTCATCAAACACTCAGTGGATCCCCCAGAAAATTCCAGCTTCCCCAACAGACTGAGGATGTTTTAGAAATCACCAGGTACCTCCTCATTTTCCATCAGCACAGCATTCCCATCTTCTTTACATGTGTGTGACTCTTGCTATTAGAGGCTCCCAGCATTCATCTTGGGGATTCTCCTGAATCCTATCAATGTTAAAATGAAATACCAAGCCAAGTTGAGTGAGGACTATAACAGTGAAGCCTGCCAAGGCTATTTTTCTTTCTGTGTTTATGATTCCCTCAGAATAAATTACCACTTGCCATTCATTTTTATCTTCTGCAGGCGCCACCTGAGACTGGTGCCCACCTATGAGAGCGCATCCATCCGGCGGTTCCGGGAGGGGCGGGTGGACAACATCCGGTCAGCCACTCCAGAGGCACTGACTTTTGTGAGAGCCATGACTGACCACAAGGCTGCTGTGCCTGTAAGTCCCACTCTGGCCTGGGAGCCACCCAGAGGCCAGTGACACCTGCCTACTCTCTGGCTCTGTTGACCATGCAGCTGAGATCTCAAGTCCTAGGCATTGACTCTCTTCTCTGTCACAGGCTTCTAAGAAAGGACAGCTCCTGAGGGAGGCCATCCGTGCCCAGACTGAGTACACTGTCATGGTGAGTGATGTTATGCACCTGGTGACTATAGCATCAAGGCGGGGGCTGCATGAGACCCTGTGTCACAGCTCAGCCACCAATGGCCTGGTAACATGGTAGGCTATCCCCTCTCACAGCCTCCTCTTTCTTGCTTTTAGAATGTAGGTAACATACTATTCCTGCTTGTCCACCAGATCTTAAAAGAGCAGAATGAGTGGCATTTGAAATCCTTTGGAATAATAGCTCACAAAATGTACAGCACTTTACAGTTTATACAAGAGAACCCAAAGGTGAGGGTTTGGGGCTCCAGCCTAGAAAATGAGGCAGCCTGCACTCTGGCATAATCACAATGAATGAGGTGATGTTCATTCCCACCTCAGGCTGATTTTGCCTCTTGTTTCCTGCGTATTTATTTATGCCACCACCGAATAGAAAGTCTTTGCTGAAAATTAATACTGAAGTCAAAATTGGAAGAGGAATGTCTTCCTAGCTTAGGAAAATAACTTATTTTTTGTTAGTACAAAGTCATCATCTGCATACAGAAAATAGAGAATGAACATCAACTGGGCTGGTGATCAATGTACTTACTGCAAACTATTCTAACGTTGTCTGCAGAGGATCTGATAACCTACGGAAAGGATTGTTCAGATTCCACTCTCTGCAATTGAAAGCAAGCATAGTGTACTTCTATGTTTCAGAGTCAGTGTAGACTTTCCTCTAACTCAGTGGTAGCTCTGTAATTTATCTCAATAGTTTTGTGTTTGTTCTCTTTGGGGAAAACTAAGCACAGCTTTCTAATACTGTAACACATTAACTGAGATAGAGACAGAGAAAAGGTTTATTCTGGTACATAGTTTCCAATAGTTCAGCCATGGTCAGTTGGCCCCATTGCTTTGGGGCTGTGGTGAGGCAGAGCATCATGGCAGGAGCCCATGGTGGGGCAAAACCTTCAACTCATGATGGGAAAGAAAGAAGGAGAGGAAGAAGAAGGACTGGGAACCCACCATTCCTTCAAGAGGATGCTTCCAGTGACCAGGAGACCACACAATATCACCTCCCCAACTGGCATGAAGCTGGGGACTAAGCCTTTATTTAATACATGAACCTCTGAGGGACATTTCAGACCCAAGCTACAGCAAAAACCCACCTCTGTGATCTATGGATATGTTGTTGCTGTTGTTGTTGGTAGTGTTGCTGTTATTGTTGTAGTGTTGCTGCTTTAGGCCAGGTGAGGTGCCAGGTGCTAGAAAACAAACCCCAGAGCTCATAAATCCCATCCTTAAGAGAGTCTATCTTGTGGTATGAGGAGAAGTCTTCCAAGTTAAGTCCAAATCCATGTGGAAAGAGCCCTCAGGAAGTAACAGTGAACATGGAGAAGAAAGCTTTTTCCTCTGCTGGTGAAAGACAGTCAGGAAGACTTTGTAGAGGAAGTAGTACTGCAACTCAGCCTTGAAAGACAAAGAGAGGGAAGGGGGCCCTGGAAGAACAGCAGGTGCACAGGCAGAGTCTTGAAGGCCTAAAACATACTGAGGAGGAGCAAGTAGATCAGTGTGTGGCTTATGAAGACCAGAATACAGGAGGGCTGGACTTTCTGTTACCAGTGTTGCTCCAGTGTGGGGCAAAAGGGTTGGTTGGATGGGAGACAGCTTGCCAAGAAGCAGAGATACCAGTTAGGAAGCCATGCTGTATTGCAGGGTGAGGAGAGGATGACTCAGACTTCTGCTTCAGCATGGCAAATTGAACAGGGGGCTCACTGGCACTCACCCTGAAACTTTCTAAAATAACAGTCAGGGCATTTTTAATGCTATGAATTCATGAGGGCAAAGAGAATGGAGGGGAGGTGACAGCAATTGTTTGAGTGGGAAAACAGAACAGATGACAATTGAATTACTAAGCAGTGAAAGAGGGTGGTGAGCCTTGGAAATACACAGACACCGGGAACACCCCCCAAAAATATGAAGGGTATTCTCCAGAACTGAAGAGCCTGAGTTTCTATATTGAGAGAATTCATCAAGTATGTTACATAATACATAGAAAATACTCATACCATGAAAACTTCACAGCAGTGAAGACAAAGAGAAGCTCCTAAAATCTCTCATAGAAAAAAGAAGAAATACAAGAACAGAAATAAAGATGACTTCTAACAACATATTTGGGAGGTAGATAGTGGAGAAATGCCTCTAATTCTAAGGGGAAATGAGCTTCAGTAAATTCCATACCCAGCTAAATTATCATCAAGTTTGAAGATACAATACAGACATTGTAGACCGATAAAGTCTTAAAAATTTTACTTATTATGCAATCTTTGTTATTGCTCCTGGAGGATGTAGGCCTCCAAAATGGGGAAATAAAAACATAAAAGACAAAGTTATAGGCTCTAAAAGTTAGAAGACTCAAAGCGAGAAAGTGGTAGAAGGACTCCCCAGGATGACAGCAAAAGGATTTCCCAAGTCAACAGCTGTTCAATAGGTTTAGACAGCACTCAGTTCATAGAGGAGCAAGAAGTGGGAGGAGAAATAAAATTCTGGCTGAAAATTTAGGAGTCCATTAATAATCAGACACACTGAAAGCTAAATGAGGGGGAAAATCCCCACAATATAATGATTTAAAGAATGTCAATTCTAGGGGGAAAAAAAATTCCAATAAAAAAGGAAATCTAGCCATAGTGTACTACAGGACCCAGTTGTGAATACTTACATAATCATATCATACACTCTCTCTCTCTCTCTCTCTCTCTCTCTCTCTCTCTCTCTATATATATATATATATATATATATATACAGTGACCAAATAAAGAGAAGGATGTGTGTTGGCAGAGTAGGGACATGTTTAAAAAGTCAAAGCTTCATTTCTATCCCAAGAAGATTGCAAGTAAAACAAGAAAAGGCAATTGTGGCATTTTAACCATGGGTCTGGAACAATGAAAGTGAAAAACAAAAGCAATAGCTAGAATTGCTTCTGTAGATGTGAATCAGTGCTGGCAAGGTGACACGAGCCTGTGGTTTACTTGGACTTTAAAATTATGTAAATATGTAACTTTCACAACAAATTTAAATATATGAAATTTTCAAGAAAACTATCCTCCTGCCTTGCCGTCCAGTTCTGCTGAGCAATCTACTCTAACTTGACAAGAATAACTGACCAAAGAGATGAGGGTAGGGAAGAGAGAGATAAAGATCATAGGTAGATGAATATGATTCCCGGTGGCCCAGAGGGTAAGGGAAAGAGAAAGGAATCAGAAAAGCCACCCGATAGCTGGTGAGCACACTTGGTGGTAATGAGTGATGGAAGTTCCCATGAGGGGCAAGGTGGTCCAGGTTCCCACTCACAAACTCTGTCCCCCATGTGTGCCTCATCCAGTGTATGATTGCACGGTATTTGCATGGCTGGTGACTCTGCCCCCATGTGACTAGAGGCTCAGTCTCTGGCTGCCTTCTTCTCCATTCCCGGTGCAGCACCAGGCAGCTTTGGGTGTCTAGGAGGCAGTCAAAGGTCTCTGCATGAGGGACAGAGCCCTGAGGTATTGTCTTTGCCCCTCTTTATGGCTGTCCCCAAAACCACCTGTGAACTCATGCTTTCTTTGTATTACTGGTTCAGAGATGGTGGAGACAGGTGAGTGGTGATGGGAGGGTTCCCAGTCCTTCCTCTAGGTCCTAGCCGGCACAGCTGAAGTGAGTTGTGGGGCTGGGATGGAGTTCAGCGGCGAGTGCTGGCCTCCCATGCATGAGGCTCCAGGCTCCACCTCTAGCACTGCCAAATAAGTAAATAAGAAGAATAAAATGAGTTGTGCTGTGCACCTTGTCTTTCATACTATAATTAGGTGCCTTCTGAGATATAGGCCTCAGCGTCATCTTTATGCATCATTCTCAGCTGCACAGAGCAGCTGTCAGATCCCAGAATGTGCTGTGTAAACCCAAGCACAGTTGCAGGAGGGAGCCGTCCTGCAGGTTGGGGCCTTAGCAGCTGCCCTGCAACAATTTTACATAACTGGGATGCAGAGATCCGATCACCCTGATGCTAACCTGAAGTTTATTGTTATAGGCTAGGGATGCCCCCTGCCAATCTCCGTCCGCCCCCCAAACTGCCCCGAATAATCATGGAATCAAAAAACAAGAATATGGTGCATGGGAGAGATGGGGAACAAGGGCCTGGCCCCTTTTGGTCCCTTTCACTGTTATCCTGCATTTGATAGGAGCTTAACTATCTTTGTAATTAAAAAAAAACCTCTTGTCATTCAATCAGCTCTTTCCCCTTGAAGGTCAGCAAAGCCTCTGCTAAGATACCTGCTTTCTGGCACAAAATGGTTTCTTAGATTATGGATCTAGTTTCAGTGGACTGGTCCTGGGCCCATGATTCAGGGACATACCCTATGCTCACTAGCCCCTCCTCATTGGTCTTTTGCTGGAGGATGCAGCATTGTGGAGCAGAGCAGAGGCCACAAAGGAGTCCAAGCCTCCTCTGCTACCTTTCCCCAACCCTCAGGCCATAACGGGGATGGCTATTGACAACCACCTGCTGGGACTTCGGGAGCTGGCCCGGGACCTGTACACTGAGCCGCCTGAGATGTTCACAGATGAGACATACCTGACCAGCAACCGGTTTGTTCTCTCCACCAGCCAGGTAGGACTGCCTGTTTAGCCATCACTGTCAATGTCACTGAAAGGCCTTGTGTGACCACTAGGCTCTCTAAAGAGATCTCAGGGATTGGGAGGCCCCAGCTGGCATCACCAAGCGTGGACTCTGTCAGCTTCTGCCTCTTCTGTTTTAAAAATGTATATTTTATTTTTAACTGACACAGTAATTATACATATTTCTGAGGTACAGTGTGATATTGCAGTTTGTATGCACTATGTGTAACGGTCAGATTAGGGTAATTGGCGTTTCTATCACATTTATCATTTCTTTGTGTTAGGACATTCAAAACCCACTCCATCAGCTGTTTTGAAATAGTCAGTTAATTGTTACCAACCATAGCTGTCCTACTGGGCTTCAGAAACTTAGATGTGAGCCCTCCTCCCTGAGTGCACCTTACACCCATGACCATCTTCTCCATCAACCCACCCTCCCCTGCTTGGCCCTGCCTCTCAAGAGCTCTTCTACTTTAGGCAAAAGGACCTGAAGCTCAGAGCCCTGGTTCTCCTTTTCTAAATGGGAGTTGTCAGGGACTCCACCTTAGCCAAAAAGGCAGGGCAGGCACAGCTGTCCTGGTGCTCCAGCCATGAGGCAGCACTGCCTTCACACCCCTCGCTTGAGGGTGCTGTTTCACTGTGGGGACCCCAGGTTCGGGAGCCCTTGGGCCTGAACACCACACATCCCCAGGTGACAGGCGTCACCCCATAGTGGAAGACTGGCCACCTGCCCATCTACACTGTGCTGCAGATGGCCCCGTCTGTTGGAGGACACAGTTGCAAAGACAGGACGAAAACCACCAGTGGGGGTCTGCGTGGAGGGGAGGAAGTGCCCCCATGCTCACCCAGTTACTAAGGCTCCACCTAATCTGTGAACTGCTGGACATGGCAATCAAAGGGTTGATGAAGCTGTGCTGGAGGATAAGAGCCCACTCAGTGATTTCGTTTTGTCATCACGGTGGTGAGCTTGCAGTCACGAACACACGAAGTCAGAGCACAGCAACATAAATTCTTCAGGAAACCAACCATGGGCGAAAAGTGCTCTGGAATGGCTTTCTGGCCGGCGGCTATCGTACGGCAAATTTATCTGACAATGCGGTGACTCTATTAGCAAGACTAATGGTTTGTTCTGCCCCATTCAAACAGCCAGTGTCACTTCCAAAGACAGAGAACACAGCACTAGAAACCTGTGGGTTTAAACAAGTCTGGTCTAGTACCAACCTAAGAACCTTTCCTCCCCCTAGGAGCAGCTAATAAAATTAATTTGGGGTGTAGACTTTTTTGGTGGTTATTTTCCAGCTGGAAAGTGGTGCTTGTGGCTTGAATGCCTTCCAAGACACTTGCTTGGTTTGTGATCCAGCTTGTAAAATCCCAGTGCTCTGAATTCAAAGTGTCTTAGGCGCAGAACTGAAACTCCAGTTGACGGCAACCTTTGAAATGCCTGGTGCTGGGTAATTGTGCGTGGCCCAGGCTGCGGGGAGAAAATCCGACCAGCCAGGCAATTCTGACAGTAATTAAAGATCTGGGGGAAATCAACAGAGGAGATGGGCCAGATTTCCTCCAGTTCATAAACTGCTCCCTGTGGGAAGCCATCTACCGCTTGGGTGCCACTGGGGTACCTTTTAGTAAATTACCCTGATTGCCACGGTGTCTCAGATGGCCCCCAGGTGAAGGAGAAACTCAGCCCCTATCCCAGTTCACTTGGGATCTTCCAACTCACAGCACAGCATATTGTACCCTGGGGAGTGGGCCTGGGGTCCCCTTCCTTCCACAATCATGCAGTAAGATGGTTTGTTTTTACGATGCTGGCTGTGTTCACCCATGCCAAAGTAATTGGTTGATTTGGTAAATTCAGTCAAAGCCCCAGGGTGGAAATAATCAGAGAAGCCCATCCCAGCAGAGGCTTGGGATGTTGGGATGCCCCCAATTCTCGCAGGTTCAAAGGTTGCAGTATGTTGCTGCTGCTGCTGCTCACGTGTGCTCTCTTCCAGGTACCCACGAGCATGGAGATGTTCTGCTGCTATGGCCCTGTGGTCCCCAATGGCTACGGTGCCTGCTATAACCCCCAGCCTGAGACCATCCTCTTCTGCATCTCCAGCTTCCACAGCTGCAAGGAGACCTCATCCATGGGGTTTGCGGAAGCTGTAGGGGCAAGCCTAGCTGACCTGAGAGCCCTGTGTAGCCTATCGCAGCCCCCTGACTGCAAGCCACTCGTGACAGAGGGGAAGGCTATGGGGCCCAGCCAGGGTTACCAGCCTTGACTTCAGCTCTGAGTCCAGCCCTCTGCACTTGCCAGACTCTGCCTCAACCTTGTTCTCATCCCTATCCCCATCCCCACTTTCTGCAGCGTCCTGGTCCCTGGGCTCAAACCATAGGCAGGTTATCGCCTAAGCTGGAGTGTTGAGAGGAAAAGGGTGCCTTGTGAGGCGCAGGATGGCCTGTGCCATGGGAATGAGGCCGTCCTTGTTCCCAGGTGGTGAAGTCCCCAGCAAACCCCTCCCTCCGTGCCCCTCCAGAGCTTAATGCTCATGTTCCTTCCCCTGCAGGACCTAGCATGTCTGGAGGTGTTTCTGCTGAGCAAAACAATGAGTCACTCTATACGCACCATGCACACAAATGAATCATGGAGGCAGAGGCTAGCTCGGGGTCATTACCCCCTTTTCTTTCTGAGAGGAGTTGCAGGGAGGCTTTGTTTTGAGGTTCAAAGCATCTGATGGTGGCATTCAGGGTCTGCACTGAGCCATACAGTCCTGTCCACATCCACTCTCCGCACACAGAGCCCACGTTCGTTTGCAGCAGGGCAACCTGCATCCCAGGCACGTTTCTCCCTCCGAAGGGTAGCCTTCTGTTGTTCAGGAAATCTCACCCAGCTTCTGGGAAAGAACAGCATCATGTGCATCAGTGCTGGAGTCCTTGGCGCGCTCTGCTTTTTGGGTGGCATCAGGAACAGGTGGAGCAATCAACCAACAGCCTGGAGCAGGCAGGGTCCTACCACCTGCATGTTTTCCATGTCCTCCACCTGTCTCCCCAGACATAGCCCCTGAAATGTGACCTGCCCTAGTGGGGGAAAACCAGGCAGGGGCTTTGGGGTTTTCCCTTGTTGTTTATGTTTTTTGTTTATGTTTTGAAGAGAAAGGTTTTTAAGAAAATCACTCCAACGGTGATTTCAGAAAGTGGTCTCAGCAGCCACGACCTGTGGCTGGGGTGGTATCTGGAAAAGGCCTCCAGGATACTGGCCAAAACTCATGCACAGGGCTCTCTGGTGGCCTCAGAGACAGAGACGCCCATCTTGCTAGGGCAGGACAGAACAGCCGGTCACCCTGGCTCATCCTGGTTCATCCTGCCAGACCCCCTGACAGAGCTGGGGGAGGTAGAGGAGAGGAACTCCATCTGGGGGCACATTCTTTTTCATTTAAATTTTTTTAAGCTTTACTCCTCTGCCTCCCCTTTTTTCCCCAGTATTATGGATTCAGTCTAAGGCCTTCACACAGATCTATATACCCGTCCCTTATTTATTTATTTATTTATTTACTTATTTTTGAGACAGGGCCTTGCTAGGTTGCCAAGGCTGGGCTTAAACCTATGATCCTCCTGTCTCAGCTTCCCAGAGTGCGAGGATTACAGGCATGCACCACCATACCCAGCTAGGTTTTATTTTAATTTACAGGTAATAACAGTACATATTTATGGGGTACAGTGTGACATTTCAGTGTATGTATACATTGATAAAATCAGGGTAATTAGAAGAACCAGCACCTCACACAGTTATCACATCTTTGTGGTGAGAGCGGTTAAATCCCTCTCTAGTTGTCTTGAAATACACAATACACGTCACCATCTCTGGTCACCTGCAGTGCGACAGATCCCAGAGGCCACTCCTCCTATTGAACTGTGGCATTGGACCCACTGACCACTTTCTCCCCTCCTCCTCCCACACCTTCCCCAGCCTCAAATCACCACTATTCTACCCACAACTTCTTGGGGATTAGCTTTTTATGAGGAGTTTAAACAGGCAGTGGATGTGGGGTGGCAAAGCAGCCTGAAAAAATGGGAAGTGCTGAAAGTGGAGGGCAAGCAAAGCCTGCTCCTCCCTACACTGCTCTGCCCGCTGTGGGGTGAGTCTGGAGAACCCTCTTCCCATCTTGCTGGTCCTGTGTCATTCTGAATGCCCCACTCTGGCCCAGGGACCCTATAAGTGTCCCTTCTTTGGGCCCAGCTTAGTGTGCACTGACCTATGCTGAGCTTCTGAGGCCACGTGAAGCCAGAAGCCATGACCTGGGAGCAGGTCAGGTGGAGGATGCCATAGGGTGAGGTGGGCAACCTGGGAACTGTTTTCTCATGTGCAGACTTAAGTCATTGGTCTGCAGGTCCCCGCTCCTCTCCTCTGACATCCACCCTCCAGCCCTAAGGTCCCCTGCTGAAAGTTGACACAAAGCCTGTGCATTCTGAGTCCTCCCCAGTTTCCCTCCATGGCTTTTCCAGTGGGCAGAGAGCTCCCGCATTGGGGTCAGTCGGCCCCACAAAGTTAGGCCAGGTTACTGAAAAGTCCAGAGACAGTTTCCTGTGCTATCACATGAGGACCACCCATGAGGGCTGGAACCATGTGTGCAAAGGGTCTTCCCTGGCAGGGAGACTGGTGCCTGACCTGGAATGCCACCCCCAGCAAGCCTTGTTCCAGTGTTTTGTTCAAAATTCTGCCCTGACACACAGGGGCAAGTGCACACCTGCCGTCCTTGAGTACAGGGAACTGGAATTCACTCTCTGTCAGGATATCAGACTGTGCGAGGATCCCCTTCGGAGGCAGAGGTAGCACCTCCTCACTCTGAGGAAGGGTCCGAAGCTGGTCTTCCCCTTCTGATGATGATGGTGGGTGCACAACATCTTTATGAAAGGCGACACTGAGCCATGGCCAGGCATCTCTGTGGGGACACAGGAAAGGAGGAGGCTATGTCCCCAGAAAGATGGGAAATGAGAGAGTCCTTTGGAAGGGCAATGTGTAATAAATATGGCCACCTTACACTACTGCTAAGTTGCCAAAATATACAAAGTTAAGATTTAAGTTCTATTTTTATAAGATAGTTCTAGATTTATGGCAATGTATATGTGTATTTATAGCCTTCTCATTTTAATTTATAGTTTTGTGCTTTAAAGAAATATATGTATGTTGAAAGGACCGAATATTGAAAGCACTCTATTCAAATTATTTAAAGACTCTAACTCTGTATTCAATAAAATATAATGCCAAGAAAAGTGCCATCGGCCACTGTTTCTCTCTTCCTACTAGACGACAACGTTGTAAATTCTGGGAACTGGGTCAGCAGCTCTTTGGCCTTTGTCTGGGCTCCACCAAGAGCAGTGACAGAGTGTAAATGACTCCGGGATGCTGGGTATGGTGGCATGTGCCTGTAGTCCCAGCTACTCAAGGAGCTGAGGCAGGAAGGACATTTGAGTCCAGGAGTCCTAGATCAGCCTGGGCAACACAGAGAGACCCCGTTTCTGAAAATAAAAGAGAGCCAGGGGGAGCAAAGGCAAGAGGGAGCTAAGTCTCTCCTTGGCAGGGCATCCTGAGGTGGGGGTGAAGGCAGCAGGACTCACGCAGCGCCTGTGATCAGGTTGGCCACAGTGTAGGTGCCAAGGTGTGCATCCTCCACTTAGCCCACAGGGACAGTGAGGAGCAGGCAGTGGAGAGGACCACCAGGACAATAAAACTCTTGCAGGTCTGCCTCACTGTGACCTCTGGGGACATCACCTAGCCTCTACCAGCCTCAGCATCCTCACTATCAGCACAGATGGGACCAGTCCTTCCAAATGGAAACCATGAGCTTTGTAATCAGCACCTCGGAGGGTGTGCAGGTTGGGATGTGAGAAAGATGCCGTTGGGAGAGATAATGGCTCAGAGTATTCCAGGAGGACCGAAGGAGAGGGTGGGACAGGATCACAGTAATATGGATTCACTCTTATTTATCACACGTATCATAGGTGGCCCCCAAAATAACTGGGGGGCCAGAGAAGCTCTGGGTTCCCTTCATAAACCCAGCACATCTCCTCCTTTTGTGTTTCTCTGAGGTTTCCTTTCAGAAAAAGCAGCTTGAGTCTGAAGGCGAAAATTGTGCCATCCCTGGAGGAGCTGTCCCCACACCTGGGCAGCCCTTCCCCACCCCCTCTCCCCCTGTTCATCTCTTGCCTTGTGCAGCCACACCTCCCTCAGGCATTCCTCCTGTTCCTGCCCCTGCCCTTCATTGTCAATGGCCCAAGGTTTTTTTCTGTCTGTGGTCTTGATTTCTAATTCTAAGGCTCAGCTGGCAACAAGCCAGGCTGAGTTAAGCCCAAGGAACCCCTCGCCACTACAAAAATACCAGGGCAGAGGGTGCAGCCCCAAAACAGAGCACTTGCCTGCCATGCCTGAGGCCCTGGGTTCTGTCCCCAGCACCAAAACCAAGCTAACAAAACAAAAAGCCACTCATAGAAGTTCTTTTAAATATATAATGGAGTAAAACAAAGAAAAGAAAGGAAAACATCCTCACATTTCATTAAAAGAAGGCTTCCCAAAGGACAGCAGGAAGCAGGAGCTGAAGTTTGGTCTTGGGCCAGGAGCTAACCTGGGAGGTGGACAGGTTCCTCACTGCCGCTGGCTGAGGGGACAGAACAGCCACAGGAGCCTAGTGCCCCGCACAAACCCGGCCCCCCAGAGGTATCCCAAGACTTATAGCATATGCAGATGAGAGGTTTGCATGCACAGGACTTCCTGGTAAAGCAGGAGCACCAAGTCTACAATGTTAGAAGCCAACTGGGTCAGCAAGACCTAAAGGACCTCAGCAGAATCAGATACGCAGATGCAATGAACACCCCCTGGGGGAACATTCCACTGCAGACAGTCCCTGTCATGAAACATAAATCTCCCAAGTAGATCAGGAGAGAATTAACATCCTAAAGGCTGACATAATCTGTGAATCAGCGGAACTGTGAAATAATTATGTTCATTCTTAGGAAAGAAATTGTTAAAGAGGTCAAAGGAAGATAGCACATGGAGTGCCAGTGTATATGGAGGAGTTTGAGAGCCTGGCAGAAGCACTAGTCAAAGAGAAAGGGGCTCAAAATATTCTAGAATTGAAGAAACACATAATTGTGAAACTCATGGGTCAAAGAACAGGTCATAACAGAAATTTTAAATCACCTAGAGAAGAATGGTATAGATAACTTATGTCAAAATTATCTGATCTGGCTGGGGATATAGCTCAGTGGCACAAGCCCCTGCCTGGCAAATGCAAGGTCAGAAGTTTGATTCCCTGTACTAAAAAAAAAAAATGATCTCATGTCTCTTATTTATTTTAAATCTCTGAAATACACCAAAAGTGACTGTGGGAAATGTGTAACTTCCAATATATGGGTAAAAAAGGAAGAGGAAAGTTTGATTAGCTAAGTGTAAGGTTAAAAGTAAGAAAAAGAACCAAGCTGGGCGTGGTGGTGCAGGCCTTTAACTCCAACACTCAGGAGGCTGAGGCAGGAGGATCATTGCGAATTTGAGGCCAGCCTGGGCTACAAAGTGAGCTCAAGGCCAGCCTGAACTGCATAGTGAGACCCTGTCTCAAAAGACAAAAAAAAAAAAAAAAAAAAAAAAAAAAAGAACCAAATAGCAAACTCAAAAAAAGTACAAGGAAAAGATTAAAAACAGCTTTTGACAAAAGAAAAAGCAACATAACAGAAGAGAAACTAAACAAAGCAAAAACTGATTGAAAAGACTAACAAAATAGTCACACCTGATAAAAATCCATAAAGAAAGCATCAGATTATGAAAAATATTAAGAACAAAAAGCTAACATAATTTCAAAAGAGCCAACATCAAGAAAATGAGGCTATTTTTTATTACTTCATACCAATAAATCTAAAGGTAAATAAAAATATTCTTAGAGAAATATAACTTCCAAAAGCAAATGCAAGAAGAAATACAATCTCCTGATAGTCTCAGAAATCTTAAGTAAACCAAAGCAGTAATATTAGCAGCAGGAAGTAATTGTATCCCACTTAAGGGTTAAAAAAAAAAAAGGATGGGAGAGACATAAAATTTCATATACAAATTCTACCAGACTTTTTAAGAAGGGATCATTACATGATTATAGTTGTATCCGAAATAAATAAGAAGCTACTCATCCTCTTAGTATATTCTCTTATTAATTCTCTGAGGCTAAAATAACTTTAATACTGAAGCCAGAGAAGGACATAACAGAAAAAATAAACACAAGCCCATTTCACCCATGCATGTATATGCAGAAATCCTAAATAAAATATAAACAAAAAATGTTAAAAGATCAGCACACCAATGCCCACCAAGTTAGATAGTTTAATATTGGAAAATAACTAAGTGTCACTTACTCATTAATAACTTACAGAAAACATAATAGAATCATTCTAATTGTTAAAATGAATTCAATGAAATTCACAAGTTATTTATAATTTAATGTTAAAAACTCATACTAAAGTGAAATTAGAGAAAAAGTTTACTTAGTCTGACAAAGAATACAGGATATTTACTAAAAGTCTATAACAGACATCATTCTTTCACGGTGTTTAGGGGATTTTGGGGAATACCACTTGGGCCTCCTGCATGCTGACCAAATGCGCTACCTCTGAGCTACACCAATATCGCCATAAATGGGAAAATGTGAAAGCTGTTCCCATTCCTTTATAATAGGGGTACAAGGAAGAAGGAGATTGAGAAAATATCAGAAAATGCAAAGATATCGCCTGTTCCTGGTTAGGAAGAGCCAATATAGTCAAAATCAATATAATCATAATATTTTTCATTTCTGACCATATCTCCAAAACTGATACACAGATTTAGTGCAATCCCAATCAAAATGCCTAGTGTTCCTTACAGAACTAGAGAAAGCAATCCTAAAGTTCATATGGAACCAGAAGAGACCCAGAATAGCAAAAGCTATCCCAAGCACAGCAGCAAAGCAGGAGGCATAAAGTTATATACAAATTTACAGTGTTAAAAACAGTACGGTATTGGTACAAAAATAGAAATGTGGGTCAGTGGGACAGAATAGAGGATGAAGAAACAACCCCAGACACATCCAGCCACCTGATCTTTGACAAAGGGACCTAAGACATGCACTGGAGAAAGATAGCCTCTTTAACAAATGGTGCTAGGAACACTGTCCATTTGAAAAAGATTGAAATTACACTCATATCCCTCACCATGTACTAAGCTAAAATCTATATGAATCAGAGATCTAAACATTAAAACAGAATCAACCTACTGGAAGATAAAATAGGTAAAACGAAGTCATAGGCATAGGCAAAAACTTTCTGACTGAAACTCCAATTGCACAAGAAATAACATCATCAATAAATGGGATCATATCAAATAGGATTATATCAAAAGCCTTCTGCACAGCAAAGGAAATAACCAATAGAGTAAAGAGATAACCTACAGAATGGGAAAAATGTTACCAACTACATCTCTGACAAAGGACTAATATCTAGAATATATGAAGAACTCAAAATTCACATGCCCCCAAAATAAAAGATCTAATCAAAATTTTGGCAACTGAAATGCATAGTCATTTCTCAGCAGAAGAAATACAAATGGCCAAAAAATACATTTTTAAAAATATTCAACTTCACTGGCCTTTGGAGAAAAGCAAATTAAAACAACACTGAGATTTCATCTTACTCCAGAAGAAATGGCTATCATCAAGAAATCAAATAATAACAAGTGCTGGTGAGGCTGTGGTGAGAAAGAAACCCTTCTATATTTTGGCAGGCATGTAAAGTAGTGCAATTACCATGGAGATCAGTATGGAGAGTTCTTAAAAAATTAAAAATAGAAATTCCATTTAACCCCGCTATTTGGCCTCTAGATATCTTCTTAAAAGAGTTAAAGATGTCATATTACCTATGTGCATACCAACATTTATATCAGCACAATTCATAATATATTAATCTTGGAAGGACCCTACGTGTCCATCAGCAGACAAATGGATAAAGAAAATGTGGTATCTATATATAATGGAACCTTACCCAGCTGTAAAGTAGGATAAATTTGAGATATTTGTAGGAAAATGAGAATAACAAAGAAAACTACAGAACACACATAAAGAATACAGTAATCTTGGCTTGGTGGCACATGCCTGTAACCACAGCACTCTGGAGGCTGTGGCAGGAGGATGACGGTGTGCTTGCGGGAAGCCTCGGCTACATAGCAAGACCCTTTCTCAAAAAATTTTTTGAAAAGTAAAAAAAGAGGGGCTGGGGATTTAGCTCAACGGCACAGCGCCTGCCTGGCAAGTGCAAGGTCGTGAGTTCGATTCTCGGTACCGGAAAAAAAAAAGAAACAAACAAACAAACAAACAAAAAAGTAAAGTAAAAAAAGAGTACAGTGAAAAGGTCTAAAAGTAAATACAAAAGAATACAGCGAGAAGGTCTAATACTTAAAGCTAGAGTTCTTGAAGTGTGAAAATGGAATGGAAGTAATACGTAAAGAAGGAATGGCTCAAACTTTTCCAAAAATTGATGAAGGACCTTAATTCATTTTCAAGAATTTGAACAAATCACAAAGAGGATAAATAAAGAGACTCACACATTGGCACCTTACAGTGAAACTATAGAAAACAAGAAATAAACATGAAAAAAGAATCTTTCCAAACAACACTCTTCACAAAACTTTTAGCAAAGCTGAGCAGGATGGTGCATACCTGTGATCCTAGCCCTCTGGGAGGCTGAGGCAGGATGGCTGTAAATTTGAGCCTAGCCAGAGCAATGTAGTGGCTGAGACCCTGTCTCAAAATTTAAAAAAAATTTAAGGGTTGGGGAGATAGCCCAGTGAAGGCCCTAGGCTTAATCCCCAGTACTGAAAGAAAAAAAAAAAAAAGGTTCATACACCAAAACTGAATTTCTGACAAATAAAGATATTACAGTAAACAGAGAATTTTGTCTTTTAAAAAGTGAACTAAGGGGCTGGACATATAGCTCAGTGGCATAAGCACCTGCCTGGCAAGGGCAAGTTCCTGAGTTCGATTCCCGGTACCGCAAAAAAAAAAAAAAAAGTAAACTAAGTTTAGGGAAAACCGGACAACAGGTCCCTCCTAGACAAGGTAAGTGCCCATACGGAGCGGGTGGGAGAATAATGCCATTGTACAGTTCCACACCCTCCACTGTGTTCGGGAACTAGCGTGGCTTTGAGTGCTGTTATCTGACAGCGCAGAGCAAGGTGCTCGGAAAAACTGTTCTTCTGGCATCGTTCCTCTATTTATCAGTCATGTATAACCTAGTTCTTACCAGTGAAATATGTGTCACTGTTCTAACAGATTGCACACATGGAGATAATTAAAATACACAACGATAGCATATGTTGGGAGAAGAATTAGGAAAGGGGATTTTAAATCCTTGCACTGTTCCAAAGGAGGACAAAAGTATTAACTGCCATTGATGTTTAGAAAATAAAGATGTGCGTGGCGCTCGCAAGATGTAGTTGCTAGGTTTGTGCAATTGCTGCAGTAAACAGTCCCCAAATGTCAGAGGTTGCAGAATGACCCTCTTACTCCTGTGGGGTCTATTCTGCCTAGTCACTCGGGGCCCCTCCTTCCCTCTGATCCTCTGCCTAGGGCAGTGAGGATGGAGCAGCAGGTGCGCAGGGCAGGGTTACCAGAGGAGGGTGTCCGGTGGGTCCCCATTCCCAAGGGCAGGGGGAGCCTATAGCTTTATCTCCGCCAAGCAGACGAACCTGTAAGAGAACAGAACAGTTTTCAAACAGAGGAGGGAAATGCAAATGCACTAAGCAATGTACTGAACTAATCTAAAAAGCATCAGGAAAGTAGAGGACAGGTAAGAGTTTCTCGTCCACGGCGACGCCCCGTCTGTGTGGGACAATTTCTTGGTGGCTTAGACTGAGCACAGTTTTGTAAATGCGAGTACGAATTACAACTTAGTTCGGAAGGGATGGTACAATGGTTAAATGAGAAAACTTTGGAAAGTGTCCTCACATCGCCTGACACTTTCTCTAACAGGCCGGTGATTGTCTATTGTTAGGTATCATCAACACTTGCAGCGCCCGGTTGAAATTACCTTAGTTTACCTAGCCCTGAGGTCGAGATTAGGGAGGCGCTGGACTGGGTGGGAGGGATACTAGTCCCGCCCAGGCCCCGCCCAGCTCCCCGCATTGGTTCAGCCTCGCTTCTCCCCGGTCCAGCATTGGTTCAACTACCACCCCGCCCCACGTGCGGTCACGCCCACACAGGGCGGGCCAAACTGGCGGTTACTTAGCAGCGGCGCGCGTAGCTCAGTCTCCTAGGGTGCAGGCGGCCTGCTGCGCCATGCCTGCAAAAGCAGAGGTCCTCCTTCGCTACGGACCCTACAGCGCCGTCGGCCTGGCTGTGGAGCCCCGCACCTTCCGCTTGGAAGGCCTGCAAGGTGGGCCGCCCCGCTGCGCGCAGGCTGTACCCTCAGCATGGTCCTTCTCCCTCAGCTCCCACCCGAGGGCCACCTCCCCCGGGATGTCTTCCTGTGGCTTGCACCGCTGGGAACTGCAGGACAGTGGACCCCCGCGTGTTACATTACCTCCTTAGAAAAAAGTACGTGGGCCCACTTCCTGAGTTGGGAACCTTGGGTCAAGAAGATAAGTGACTTCCCAAGCGGGATGGCTGGAAAGTGGCCTCGCAGAGGCTCCATCCCTCCATCGTTCCTGCACTGTGCAGGCCTTTATTGAGCACCGTGCTTGCTGCTGAACACCTACACACAATCTTGCCGCCACTGAAGGTCAGGTTGCCAGCTCCTGACATTGGATAGAAGGTACTGGGAACGTGCTCCCAGCAGGACTGGCACATAGTTGAAGTTTGGGACAGGCCTCCCTATGCTCACTGGGGAAATTAGGCTTGAGCGAAGCTTTAGAGAAAGAGGAGAAATTAAGTGGACAAAGAGAGGTGGAAACACTTCCGGTAGCACTGGCATCCACTACTAAGGTCAGCACCTTCCTGACCCAGTCACCTCCCAAAGGCCCTACCCTTGAAAACTGCTGCTCTGGAAACCAAGCCTTTAGCGCATGAACATTTGAGGGACATTTATGATCCACACAAAGAGCCCTAATGGCTCAGCCTAAAGGCAATGGTACCCTGAGAGATGGACGCGGTGAGGCAGGATAGAAAGGGTGGCATTGTGAGGCATCTGTATGTGGCTGGACATGATGTTGACGCATGGAGGTATTCCCTGCTAGGATCAAAAACAGCAAAGAACAAACACAACTGGGAGGAATGGGTTCCATTTTGGACACACTAAACTTCATGTTTTCAGCTACCCAAATGGAGGCACTGAGTCAGGCCTGCAGTTCAGAGAAAAAGTTCAAGCTAGAGATAGAGATGAGCCAGAGACTGTCAGAACTTTTCAGAATGAGAGAGACCACAGGACTGGGCCTTCATGAGCTCTATGATAGAACCCAGCTAAGGACTGTGAGAAAAAAGGAAGGAAAAAGAAAGGAAAGAGTCAACAGGACAGGTTTATTTCAGAACAAACCTGAGAGGAGCCACCCTGGCGCTTGGACCAGACTGGTCACTCTCATACAGGCTATAAGCTCTTTCTTTCACAGGGTCATGAGCATAGAGGGGGCGCTGAAAGGAAAAGGTCAAAATGGGGCTGTGAGGGGGAAAAGATGAGTGAACCAACGTGGTGGCTGTGTGCTAGAGATAAGGCTTGAGAAATGCAGGGTGTGGTGGTCATCTGTCAGGAGCAGGGCTGGAGAATGTGATGGGTGTTACCTGGCATAGCTGTGGTTACCAGGCCTTATGAACCCATAATCATGCCTGTTAGCAGGTGCAAAAGCATAGGGGGCTGGAGAGGCTTAAAGTGGCCTTTGGTCAACCAAGGGTGGCAGTGATCAGGCTCCTTCAAGGATCTCCTGGATAAAATGCTGTTGGGGCCCAGAGGACACAAAAATCATTCTTGGCCCAGCAACTGGCAAAGGTATCATGGGAGAGGTGGCATTTGAGTTTGAATTTGAAGGATGGGTATGGTTTTCAACAGCAGATGAAGTTGCTTTCTTAGAAAGAACAGCTGGTTGAAAAATTTCTGTTGTTAAGAGTTCTTTGTGGTTTGGAATGATACACAGAAGATTAGCATGGCCCCTGCTCAAGGCTGACATGCAAAATCGTGAAGCATTCCATATTTTTATGAAAAACCCAATTTATATGTATATATAAGGACAGCTGGAATGTGTATTGCTGATGTCTGTGGTTTATTGAGAGGAACAGTCAATGCTGAAAGTTTTCTTTTTTCTTGACCAATTTTGCATGCTTGAATTTGGTAATCAGAATGACTGATCTGAAAACAACAAAAATGCAGTATAAGAACCACTGTTGAACTCCTTCCATCTTGTATGGTGAAGCTCTGCATCATTTCCAATGTTTTATTTTTATTTATTTATTTATTTATTTTACTTGTTACTGTCTTTGATTGTTTGTTTGTTTGTTTGTTTTTTGGTACCGGGAATCGAACTCAGGAACCTTGCGCTTGCCAGGCAGGTCCTTGTGCCACTGACCTATATCCCCGGCCCTGTCTTTGATTGCTTGATCAGGCTTACATTCTTATGTCTAGTGGACTGAGCAAGTTCGCTGAAGATAACAGTACGTAATGTAGCAACCATTGTGAATTTCTATCATTTTGTTTTGAGGTCATGTATCATTTTTGTTGTTTTTGTGTTGTTTTGATTTTGTCTTCATTATTGTTTTGTCAGTTTTTTATTTTTTAAAATAAAAAAAAGAGTTCTTTGTGGGCTGCCATAGCAACCTGCTGAAGCCTGGGTAGCTTAAACAGGGGAATAGTACTTTCTCCATCCCTCAGGCTTGACGTCCCTGATCAAGGGCTGATAGTGTTGGCTTTCCAGTGAGGCTCTCTTCCTGGTTTGCTCACCTTCACCTTCTCTCTTGCCCTCTTGGTAGCTTGAAGGGAAGGGGCAACAGCAAACTGTCTCTTCTTATGAAGGCACTAATTCTATTAGATTAGGGTCTCACTTCTACCTTTTGACCTCACTGAACTTTGGTTACTCCGTAAAGTCCTTATTTCCTAATACAGCCCAGGGCTTCAACACGGCAATCAGGGAGAACACCCGTCAGTGCATAGCAAGGTGATGTAGCGAGGCTTAAAATGTAGCCTGCTCTTGGCTGTGGACCCAGCCCAAATAACAGATTTCCCTTCCTGCCCCTGTGCTGAGCCCCACCCACCCCTCACCCTCCATCTAGCTATGCCCCCGCCCACCACATGATACTCAGTAGCTACAGCACTTCTCTAACCCAGCCTGGACTGGGCCGCTGGGAAGACCGCACTCAAAAGCTCTTGGGGCCTTTTCACATCCTCTTCCTGTCTCTAGTCTTGGCTTTTGCAGGACATTTTTTTCTTTCCTAAGGAATGAGAGCTCCTCCTCTACAACCCAGACCCACATATTCCGGGACTTCATTTGTCTCTTCTTCTCCCCACTTTTTTTTGTGGATATATCAATATATCAAAATTTATGATTTTAACCATTCCAAATTTCAACTCTGTGGCATTAATTACATTCAGAACGTTGTAAAACTGTCACTCATCTATTTGCAAAATTTGTCAACACTCAAATGGAAACTCTGTACCCAATGTGCAACTCTCCAAAGTCTTACCCCACACCTAGTCACTGTTATTCTATTTCCTATCTCTTTGCATTTGCCCCTTGTAGATACTTAATAGAAGTAAAGTCACACAGCTTGTGTTCTTAGGTGTCATTTATTTCACTTACCATAGTATTTTCAAGCTTCCTACATGTTGTAACTTGTATTGATACTTTATTCTTTTTTATAGCTGAATAATACTCCATGTTATTTTTGTTTATCCATCATCTTTTGATGGAAACTTGGGCTGTTTCCCCATTTTGGCTGCTGTGAGTGGTTCTGCTGGGGACATTTGTGAACAGGTATCTGGCTGAGTCCTTTGGTTCAAAGCAGTGGACTTGCTAAGTCATATGGTCCCTCTATGTTTAACTCACTGAAGAGCTTTCAAACTGTTTCCAAATCAGCAGCAGCATTTTATATCCTCACTAGCTGTGTATTAATGTTCAAGTTTCCCCATACTCTCCTCAACATTTGTTATTTCCTGTTTGTTTTTTATTACAGTCTTAGAAAGTGTGAAAGAAAAGAAAGGGGAAGAGAAAAAGAGAAAGGTAATTTTCTTGTGTTAATTTTGTATCTGTCCTTTTGCTCATTTAATTTACTAGAACTAACAGTACCTTTGCAGACACTGGGATTTTTTGGATATAAGATCATTCAATCTGAAAATAGTAGTTTTACTTCTTCTTTCCCAGTTTGTTGACCTCTTTTTTTGGTGGTGGGGGGGTCTAATTTATCTTGCTAGTACTTCCAGTACTATGTTGAATAGAGTGGGAAAAAAATGAGCATCATTTCTTTGTTCCTGGTCTTGGGAAAAATTCCTATTGAGTATGACATTAGCTATATATATATATATCCTTTATCATGTTGAGGAAGTTTCTCTTTATTCTTAGTTTGTTAAGTGGTTTTTTGTTTGTTTTTGCCTTTTGCTTTTTTTTAAACCGTGAAATGGTATTGGATTTTATCCAATCCTTTTTCTGACTCAATTGAGATGATTGTGTGTGTGTTTCCCCCTTCATTCTATGAATGTGTTGTGTTGTATCTATTGATTTTCACATGTTGGACATCTTCACCCTGTCCTGAGATAGGTCCCACTTGGTTTTGGTATGTAACTATGGAGATAGATTGGTTTTCCTATATCTTGTTGAGGATTTTCAGTGAGTATGCATAAGGGATGTTGGTCTGTCCTTTTCTTTGATAACTTTGACTTTGATATCAAGATAATGCTGGTCTAATCAGGATAATACTGTTCTAAAAGAATAAGCTTGGAACTTTTATTTGCTCTTCAGTTTTTGGAAGAGTTTGAGTCTTTATTTTTCAGTCACTATAGCTAATGGTTTGTTAATATTGTTGATATATTTCATAGGCACCCATGATCTTCTGTTTTTCTATTTTGTTTTTCCCCACTCTAACCCTTATTATTTCCTTGTGTCTGCTCATGTTGGGCATGACTTGCTTTTATTTACCTATTTCCTTAAAATGAACACTTTGAGTTATTGATTTGAGATCCTTTTTAGTGTTAGTGTACACAACTGTAAATTTCCTTTTGAGTACTGCTATCACTGCATTCCACAAGTTTTGAAACATTGTGCTTTGTTTTCATTCATCATAAAATACATTCTCATTTCCTTATGATTTCTCTTTGGATTACTGGTTGTTCATTTTTTTGTGTATTTGTGAGCTTTCTAGTTTTTCTTTTGCTACTAATTTATAATTTCATTTCATTGTAGAACTGGAAAAATACTTCTAAGTTTTCCTTTTTAAAAATTTATGAAGACTTGTTTTGTGGTC